TTTTTGTCGATTACATCTCGCGTATCCTCTCCACCTTTCAAAAATGTCTACAAATATATATCGCCGCAATGTTTTCTCGAGTCTGTACGTTCAGACGAATATTTTTCACTTTTCATGACTCATTTCCCTATGGTTTTTCTTTCTTTTGTCCACATTGTTCCTGTAAGCGTTTACTCTTTTTTTTTCCTTTTTTTTTTTTTTCGTTAGTTTTTTCCTCCTGTCTCCCCTTTCGTTTTCGTTTTAAACAACACGAGAAAGGCGTTGTACATGGACGGGTTGGCTTAGTGAAGACTAGCGAAATCAGCTAGTCGGACTAGCGACGACGTACATCATTTAATCGCAAGATTCAACGTAAAACATATTTAAGGCAACTCAATGCAACCGAATGGCAAGCAAATCCGAAGCGTAGGCCATGAGTGTGATAGTAAATTGTCGTGCATATATATATATATATATATATTTATATATATATATTTCTTTTTCTTTTTTTTCTTTTTTTCTTTATACGTTTTCACGAAGCACCGATAGGATAATCCGCTATATTATATTTGATATAGAAGAGCATCTATGTCGACAGGTATTCGTTACTTTTTGATCTATGTTTTCATTCGTTTTACTTTATTGTTCGGAGGATCGTCTCGTTCGACGCTCGAGGACACGTCGAAACCAGACGGGAGCCAGGTGCTTTTCTTCGACTAGCGCTAGAGAATTTGGCGTTTTTTTTCTTTTTTTCTTTTTCTTTTTTTTTGTTTTTTGTTTTGCTTTCATTCAATTGTTCCTTTGCTCTCGTTCCGCAATGCACGATTAGCAGACGACGAAGAATTCCCTTCTCTTCCTACTCCTATCGCCCATGAGACCCCTGATGCTTCACTGCTCTTGCCTTTTATCGACGAACTTGCACACGTCTCGCAACTCGTCTCGACTTGTGGTCACGGTGGTCGTTGTAATCACTTCTACGGTTCTGGTTATTCTGCAAGAGAAGTAAATTTTTACCATCGTTAATCAACGCAACGATCGAGAATATGAAAATGAAAAAGTAATTACACGCCGTGCGACAATCTGGTTAGAATCTTTCAAATTCACCAAGGTAAAGAGAAGTTCCTGTTGCAAAATTAAGTTGTTTCATTTCAGAAATTCTTGAACTTGAAAAATTCTTTCCGTTTGAAAAGATAATAACACCGTGTCTTTCACGGAGCGAAAGCTTGCGAATGAATTTTGCTCTAGAATAAATACCTTTGCTGACTCTCGGGAAGATGCGTCGTCATGTCCATGTAGTATGGCTCGCTAAGTTGCAAAAAGTCAGATTCTGCGTAACAAATGAGAATTTATGAGAGGACGTGTTCCTGCGTGCGGGGGCATACATGATCATACTATTTTAGCGGTTCACATAGATACAAGTACCAATCGTATATCTCTCAATATTACATCATGCCCAAAACAAGGGATAATACTAGACACATATAAAAAAAGTAACAACATCGCTATACATTTGACGATACATAATATATATATATAATATATAATACGCATTTTCACTCAATCCAGCCAAAACTATGCAACCGCTTTTCTTACGTTTTCACGTGAACTGTTGTCGTATCGTGTACTATTTATAACGATTCCGTTATAAATATTTTTCTAAGCGTTTCATCTCTAACGAATTCGTGTTCAACAACTTGCCTGTCACAGGAAGCGAATAGTACAAGTGTGGCAGAAATATAATATTCGGCTCCCTATGCGCTCGATCGTGAATCTTTTACGCATGCCATCTCTCTCTCTCTCTCTTTCTCTCTCTCTCTCTCTCTCGATCTCAAATTTTCCTTCTCTTTTGGATTTTTGATTTTATCTTCAGTCGAGCGCAAGTACGCTATGCACTAACAGCAGCGCTCGAGAATCTATACCGATCGACTTTTTTCGTAATCATCGAGTATCGGCTCGAGTAGGCACGTTTAGAAATATTTCTCACAAGAGAGGTCCCGACTCTTTAGACTCTTCTACTAGCGAAAAATCACTGCACTCTGAGAGTAACGGAAGGGAGGTGAACTGCGTCATGCATCGACGTTGGACGAAATATAAAATCGACAAAGTGAACCGAGTGCAAAATTTATTACCCATTAAACATAAAACTTTGTTACACGAACAAATTGACAAATGATAATTCCTTCTGGAATAGGCAGTTTATTCTATTCGGTAGAATATTTTCTAAAGCGTTGCACGTACGACGCCAAGATCTATATTTGACAAAGAGATGGAAACAGATACGAAGCACTTCGATTCAATTACTCCAGAGTCCTTTGGAGATTTACTAATAAAGCAAAGTCTAAAGAGAGCCTCCCTTGTAAGGAGGACTGTGCTGCACGCAGCGAGCTCGTGTGAAGCGCTGATAAAAACTACTGAATAATAAAGCAGTTTAGCAGTTAGTCATAAGAGATATATATATATATATATGTATAAGTACTGAAATTTCTCGATACAACGGGGGAGTATTCACTACGGTGAAAACTGAAAGAGGGATTTCATCGGTGGAGAACGAAAGTAAGTTCGCAAAGAAATCTAAATGAAAAAACCGGATCTATCGAGTACTCTACGTAAGAAAAGAGGAACACTAATTCAATCGTCACGAAAAACTAAGAGATACAAAAAAGGAACGCTACGTCAAAACACACGCTAACTGTTGGACAAATTTTTAGACGAAAATCATATTACACATTACTCGTTCATTTCTCGTAAGTAAGAATTGATCAAATAAAGGTCTTACTGTAGGGACAAGAAACGATATAAAAAAAAAAAAAGAAAAAAGTATGTTCCAAATTCCAAAACGACTAGAGTAGAAAGGAATGATTGGCAAATTATATACACTCGTCGACAGTTCGAGCTTTTATCATCGTAGAAAACAGTGTGTCGTACTTACAATCTTCGACCAAGGAAAACGCTCTCTGGTTTTGACCGTAGTTCTTTGAAACACCCTGTATATAGTGGCAACAAGTTTAAAGGGGCGCGTACTAACTACTATCAGTTAGTGTTGTTAGACGAACGGTCAAGTATGCAAGTAATTAGTTATTGAAGGTATTTTCGGATGTATCAGCTTATTGTATCAACGTTTATTGTGCATTCTCATGTGCTCTTCGCGTCCCTCCGGCACTTTTCTTCCGAACATTTCCCACTCCTTCCACGATAAACGGCCAGAAATTTTCAATTCAAATGTTATTTTCAATTTCGTGACCACGATAAAAGATTTGAAAAACTCTAAAAGAAAAAAATAAATATTCTCTCGTTGCTTTTAATTAGCTGTTGTAACAAATTTCTGTAACTTTTTTTTTCTTTAAATTTAATTACTAAATTCGTAGAAAAGAATCGTTGTGAAATTGTGAAACGTCAAGCTCGGATCGGAAGGAAAGTCACGGATCGTCGCAGGTGCGTCGTGTAAAACTTGCACGGAGTCACAATTTCCGAAGTGCATTTGACGAACGAACACGATCTCATGTGCGGTCGTTCAGCCCACGAGCGAACAACACATAGTTTCTGCAAACTCTAAAGGTCGGAGCGTTTTCAGAGAATCTAGCTCTAAAAGAAAGATGTACATTCCGCATTGACAAGCTGCATCTCGAACCGGGAAGGGTAGCGTGAATGTAGCACCCTTCCGAAAAGCGGTGGGAAGAATTCCGTTTCATCGGATCTGCTCGAATCTGTCGAGTCGATTTTAGGTTGATGGTGTGGAATGGCTTGTTCGTGTTCAGACGCACGTGTACATAAATAAAGGCTACTTACATGACGATTCGCCTAACAATCCTAACGTGACTAAACAAAATTACGATTTGCTGGTCCCTCTACACTTTAGCTTTATCTTGAGTTGCTTATTGTCAGAAGAGCTAGAAAGGGCAAATAGTGAGAGAAGAACTATAGGACGCATGAAATCAATGTGAGAATTTCGAGCTCTATCGAGTTCCAAGTTTTCTTTCTTGGGCACGTGCATCAGGCTACACAGAAAACGCTATATTACGTGGGAGGGAGAGGGGAGAGAGAAGAAAAAAAAAAAAAACAGAAAGAGTGGAATTATTGCCTTGCAGAATGCTGCAGGTGACAAACTCAAAGACTGGGGAAATGCGACAAAGTATCATGCGAAGTGTCGATTATATTTTTTTTTAAATACCATGCAGGCACATTCGATTATATATATTGGGAGGATCGATCGGACATGTCAGAAAAAGAAAGCTTGCGTTGCGTATCATTTTGCAAGTCCGCTTCTCCATTTCACCTTACGCGTGCTCGTAAATATTTTTACGAGTATATAGTACCTATCACGCGATCACGTGGCAAGGAAATTTTCATTTTCACGGTTGATCTTGTAGTTAACGCAATTATCCAAGTGTCGATGGTATTTCTGTCTAAAATTGGCAGTAAAATTGCGTGTCTGTACTTATTTACTTCGTCGTATATCGAGTAATATCTCTGGGACTGTGCATACTTTAAAAATATATTTACAATCATCACCTCGATATAGCTCGAGTATTTACATCGTTTAAAACCATGTTTGAAATATTGGCGAGCGAAGGCACCAATTCCTCCGAGCCAATTGTATATCTAGAAATTTTGGGCATGGGATTCTCTTGTAATTTTTCAAATCGTTCCGAGTTCAAGTGTACGTCGCGCGGTAGAAATAAATAAAATGAAGGGCAAGTCGTACCCAGTTTGCCTCGGGACATTGTTAGAGAGGGTGTAGATGGCACGTTGAAACATTCGTGGCTCCAAGACAAGAATTATCGCTAGTAGGACCACCAATATGGCGGCAGTTACGCTCATCCAACATGCGCAGCCCGTTCTACCGGAAGTCTTCGTCCTAGGTGTTCCCCCGATTGTACCTCGCCGTGTGCTCGAACAAACTGACTGTACCGAACTCTCTGTTCCCCTCGCTTAAACATTTCACGTCCTCATCGTGAGTTTTCTATCCGATTTGCATTTCATTTAAATTGATTCGGTCGAATTTTCCCGAACCCACGCCGTGATTAGTATGAGAGAAACAGCGATTGATCGAGTCACACGCGTGACACAAGGATATTTTTTTCGTACATCTTTTAAATATCCGATGATTCGAAAGCTGAAGATACCCCTTGTTATTCACGACAATTAGACAATTCCCTCTCTGGGATTAATTGTTGTAGATTCAGAGCCAATGAGTTAAAACTGTAATCCCAAATGTAAAAGCTTTCGTTGGATGATTCTGTCAAAGCCAGAGAACAACGAGTTGTTCTTTTTTTCTTTTTTTTTTTTTTTTTTGCCACTGAACTTTTTAGTCATTAGGATTGTCTCACGTATGAGGCACGATGTAGCCAATGAGTTGAAAGGAGATCACCCGATTAATGCGACTTTTTTTTGTAGTTCACAATATGTTGGGAAATTTTGAACATTTAACAATGAACCTGTGTACGTTACCATCGTTACTTCGTGTTTCGTTTAAAAGATGTCGGACTGACTCGATTTAAAAGCAATATCATATTTTTACTGAAAATGTTTTACAAATTTAGCTGGACTCGAATTGATTAGATTTAACGAAAAATCGGACAAGAATTTATCACAAACGTTCAAACAAAGAGAACATTTAAATACTTTTTGATCTTTTCTTTCTCTCTCTCTTTCTCTCTTTCTCCGCGAGTAAAACAAATACGATATTTCTTTTTACACGCATGTTTACACCATGAATGAACATCGATGTGAAAAGTATGCTAGTCCCAGAAGCAGCCGATCGCAACTTTATCCGTTGCCAAAAAAAAAAAAAA